TTCCCAAAAGTCATTTGACAAATCAACATTACTCAACCTATTGCGGACATTCCCTAGAGGTGTTATTTTCATGCTCTCAGCAACTCCATTTTGTTGTGACGTCTTCAAAGTGTTTAAGTGACAAACAATTACTTCGTTCTTGCACAAATTCACCAACTCCGCTGAAGTTTACTGTCCACCATTATCAGTCCTCAAGCACTTGTCTTTCTTTCCAATCTGTCTTTCGACCATAGCTTTCCAATGCTTGAATATGTTAAATACATTTGCATTTTTCTTTAGTGTGTAAATCCACAACTTCTTATAGATTATGAAGGAAACAAAGTATAGACATCCACATTTTAAGACAACCGATGCAGGGCCCCATACATCTGAATGAATATTAGTCCTTCTTGTGGTATGTTCTGACGTGCGAAGCTGTACCCTACACTGCGCTCCATAGACAGTGCTCACAGAAGTCCAACATGCACTTCTTCATGCCTTTGATCAATTGACATTTGCTAAGTTCCGCCAAAGCACTCTCACCTATGTGGCCCAATCATATAGGCCACAACTGAGTCAAATCAGAATAACTATCATCAAATATAGAAACTAATGTTCTATCCGTGATAGTATTCCCAAGAAGCACATATTAATTCAATATGATCTTCTTGTCTTTCATCACAACCAGAGCACCCTTAAGAATCTTCAGAACTCTACCTTCTCCAACAAATTTGCAGCCATTTGAGTGTAAGGCACCCAAAGAGATAAGATTCTTCTTTATATCTAGAACATGTCTAACATCAGTCAAGGTTCTCACAACTCCATCATACATCTTGATAGTTAGTAATTGTCCCAATACCAATAGTTTTGCATGCTGCATCATTCCCCATCAAAACTTATCCACCATCAGCGTTCTAGTATGTGGTGAACCAATCCAAATGAGGACACATATGATAGGAACATCCTGAATCAAGAACCTACGAGTCTTTAGAGTTATCACAATTTATCGAGACTGACAACACATTATTTGTTCCACTTACCGAGCTTCCATCAACTATATTGTTGTTTTAGAGGCTCGTTTTTCTTTCGCTTTGAGTTTCCAATAATCTTTCTTAATATGCCTTTTTTTCTTGCAGTAATTACAATAAATATTATATTTTCCTGATCTGGATTTGGATATGGATCTACCATGTCTTTCATGTCTCTTTCCACTTCTTTCAACAGATCTCCGTTTAGCTACTAAAATATTTGCATGTTGTTGAGCATTATTATGTCTCTTCCTCAAATCATTAGAGAGAAGAGTTGAAGTCACATCTTCCATCTCTATGGCATCTTTTCTATAGAGCAATGCTATGACTAGATGCACATACGAATTAGGGAGTGATAACAAAATTATAGCATTATCCTCATCATCCATCATCCATTTTAACACCAATATTCAATAATTTACAAATAATTTTATTAAAGTAATTCAGGTGTTTATGGATATCTATACCTGCATTCATCTGCAGTGTGTACAATTTTTGTTTCAGAAACAATCGATTTGTGAGGGACTTCGTCATATACAAACTCTCAAGCTTCGACCAAAGACTCAATGTCGAATCCTCATTGAGGATATTAAATAGCACTTCACTCGATAAACACAATAAAATAGTGTTCATGGCCCTCAGATCTAAGTCTTCCCAATTCTCATCAGACATAGATTTTGGTTTCTTTGACTTTCCTTTCAAAGCTTTATGTAGACTTTGTTGCCCTAGCAAATCCCAAACATTGATTTGCCAAATTCCAAAGTTATTTTTGCCATCAAATTTATCTACCTCGAACTTTGCATTAAAAACCTTTACCACCATACCAACAACCCCAAACCGGGCTCTGATACCACTTGCTGTGCACGAAAGCTCTAAACCCGTATTCAAAACCTCTACCATCATACCGACAACCCCAAATCGGGCATTCAAAACCTTTACCACCATACCGACAACCCCAAACCGAGCTCTGATAGCACTTGTTGTGCATGGAAGCTCCAACCCGTCGGGTTTAGAGTTTCTACGCACAACATTGACGACATCCCAACTGAACTTATAGAATTCCACCCCAAACCCATACCGACAACCGGTGCTCCAACCCATCGGGTTTAGAGCTTCTAGCACAACATTGATGACTTCGCAACTGAACTTATAGAATTCCACCCCAAAACCATATCGACAACCCGAAACCGAGCTCTGATAGCACTTGTTGTGCATGGAAGCTCCAACCCGTCGGGTTTAGAGTTTCCATGCACACAACATTGACGACATCCCGATTGAACTTATAGAATTCCACCCCAAAACCACCAGGACGACCTCATATCCCACACAAACCATCAAGACGACCTCATATCCCATAAAATTCTTGATTTTTCCAGCCTTAGTTACAGTGAAACCATGAATACAAACATAGAAAACTTTTATTCTTGATTTTTCCCAGCCTTAGTTATAGTGAAACTATGAATACAAACATAGAAAGCTTTTTTTTAGTAGTCAATAAAAATAGCATTTTCTACCTTTGATACGAATAGAACTCAAAACGTTATGTTGTGGCGACCCACCACTCTGACCAACTAACCTTGAGTCCAAACCCACAAACTAAATTGAGCAAAAAAATTCCCGCCTATTGTTGATGGAAAAATCAACACCGCTATTGCCCTAGTCTATTGTTTAGTTGTTCCATTGACTAACGGTTGAATCAAAGACAAAACGGTCAGTAGGAAGTCCCAAACAATCATGTGATTTCGACGATTATTTGCTTTAATTTCACATTTCAAAAATCAAAACCGATTTAAGACAACGAAGATGTGTGTATGCGTGAGAAACAGACACCCGAACGAGGTTAAATGGTCCTGTAGAAAAGATCTGCAAGTCACTTGGTGTTTTGGATGCTGTTTGGACCAATTACATACCACATCATTACATGAAGATAGCAGGAACAGTAATATAATAATGTTGCCAAGACAAAACCTGAAATTCGGAAACACAATGATTATAAATTGTGACAAATTCGTAACAACATACGGGCTTATGACAGCCTTAAATTTTATTTTAATATCATCAAATTTTAAATTTAAAAAATAGTGTATAGATCAAACCATTGTTTAAAAAAACGCCGAGTCGAAACGGGCCCGGTTCGACTCGGAAATCGCCATGGACGGATCGAATCGGCGAAAAAAATGGGAATCGTGGATTCTGTACAGTGACTCGCCAATTCACTGTACGGGATCAGCGAGTCCGTATAGTGAATCGACGAGTCCCGTACGGAACCTTTTTTTTTTTTTTTTTTTTAAATTCCATGATAGATTTTTTTGTAATACTTGATCGATTTTTTTGTAATCCATGATCGAATTGTTTTTTGTTTTTTTTGTAATCCATGATCAATTTTTTTATTATTATTATTTTTTTGTAAACCATGATAGAATTTTTTTGTAATCCATGATCAAATTTTTTGTAATCCATGATCGAAATGTTTGTTTTTCTTTCTTGTAATCCATGATCGTAATTTTTTGTTTTTTTTTTTTTTTGTAACCCATGATAAAAT